TCTCTCTCTCTCTCTCTCTCTCACACACACACACACACACTCTGCTCAGGCGTGTTTGATCCATCAGCCTGTGATTATTCACTCACTCAATGAAATGCATGATAATGAGGCGCTTTATCCTCATTTTCTCAGGTCTCTAGCTCTTAGTCTCAGATGAATGCGCTGCACTTCACAGGAGCAGGTGTGCGGTCCAGGAATTAAAGGTTTTATTCGCCACTGCATGAATGTGAATATTCATCTGACCTCATCAAAAGAGCAAGCAGTCTGAACTGAATTCAGTTATAGTCTGCTATGTGCACTGAATCAAGAGAACACTAGGAAGGGAACACCCTGCATTTGTAGTGGCCCAATCCGGTTCTGTACATAACAACCGATTGCTGTTAGAGGAAATAAAGCTTTAGACATTTCCAGATTATAATGTGTTTCCAGTCAATCAGCTGCTGTCATTCTATCCGGATCCATTTACTGTCAGCGTTTCTGAACTGTATTCATCTCATTTCTAACACAACCATCTAAAAATATCTTCACAGCAGCAGGGTGAGAAGAAACTGGAGTCTGAGACTCTGACAAAAGCCACAAATAAACCAACTTCACAAATTAGAGACTCTAGGAAGACTTATTTAAATGACATTATCTTTAAATTTCAGTAAAACTTCTCAAAGCTGCTTCTAAAATGTTGCTGATAAATAAAAACCCTGGAAATAAAGTTAATGCAGTAACTCACATGAAATACTACGCAAAAAAGTCTATCATATTCTGGTCAATAGATATGCATTGTGCTCCTTTTAATCTTTTTTTTTTTATTGCACTGCTTTATCAAGCAGCAGAAAATATTAATGTTATAGTTAAACCGTAATAACGTGTAAACATTGAAAAATTGCAATTGTTCATTACACTTTCAAGGCTTGTCTGGCACTCAGATTAATGCATGTTTTAGATTCGTTACTGCACAAATTAAAGTAGTGTACATAGTTTTATTAAAGTTCATGAATAGAATCTGAACAGAGATGCTATGGAAATCTTGTACATTCATCAGGTGCTGAGTGACAGTAAAAGAACGGATGCTTAAACAATGCTTAGAAAGCAAAAGGGAGTGAATGATACGAGATGAAAGGACAAAATGATCCAGAGAGCAAATAAACGCCAAAAGTTAAAAACATGCATTTATATTTGAATGAATCCTCCATACAGATGCATGCAATCCAGTGATATTTATAAAAATATGAACATACACATTTTATTGATATTTCTAAGTGCTTCTTTTTCTTAGTTTAAACACTTTGAGGAAGCATCTACATGCTGCATTTGGTTTGCGCTTCGATCACGTCTCAGTTACTCGACCACTGTATCAGAAAATAATGAGCGGGAAGTGAAATCCGTCTTACTAGGATCCTGACGTGGAATGATGCAGAGCAACTGGAGACAAACCACTATTAAATATAGAAAAATAGACTCCTACAACCAAAAGAAATTAAAGTATGCGGCCATCGTGAGTCAAAGGCCAAAGATCAGTGTAGTCGATGTTAACATGTGTTTATCAATTTAAAACCCAAGTACAGAAAACATCAGTCGTAACCCGCCACTGAACGTGGGGTAAGGGTTAAAACGTCACAGAGCACCAAACGCGCGCGTGTATGAAAGAAAAGTGTAAGCACAGACGGATCTGGTGCATTTCTGACTCAGACAATCAGTTAAAGCAGAGTAACCCCGCTGTCTAACAGGCTGTCAATCATCATCTCCTCCCCCAATCACTGGTCTCTTAGCAAGCGAAGCCCCGCCTCCATCTTACTGCTGCTCCCAGACTCCGCCCACAATGTGCACACATGTGGAAACGATCACATGGTTTGTAAAGGGTGACATTTATGGGGAACAACAGTGAGACACAAAAGCCTTGTGAAGGCAGGGCGGATCATGAGTTTTGATGACCCGAGATTATTTTAAGAGACTCAAGTGTGTTTATGCCAAGAGGAGAGGGATAAATCACTAGAATAAACCAAGTTAAACTAGTCCTGACAGCCTGTTAAACGAGCAGGGTTTAACCTCAGCAGCCGGACTGAGTGATGTCTCCGCCGGAGCTCTTGGTGACCTCCATGGTGGTGAATATCTGGAAATGAATGACGGGAGAACATGTTACACTCAAAGGACTAAGAACATGAAATATCAGTAATATATTACGAAGCAGCAGGGTCACAGAACACGCACCTCAGCACATGTCGGGTGAATCCCGATGGTGTTGTCTAGCTGGTCTTTGGTAATTCCACATTTCATGGCGGCTCCGAAGCCCTGTGTGACCTCGCCAGCGTTAGGACCCAGATAGTGGAAGCCAATCACACGATCCTGCACACAGACAGACAGACAGACAGCAGTTAATACTCCTGAAGGTCCAGGACAGGGAGCGTAGCATCGAATCCAATGCAAATCATTCATACAACACATTTCTTAATGGAAATCAGTCACTGCCTGCTAGAAATGAGCCTGTGAAACAAACAAGTACATGATTTAAAGCCAAATTCACTGCATTTGTCAAATATGCATAATGCAAGCCAACAGATGGCATTAGATCACACACACACACACACACACACAAACGGTAAATATCAAAATAATAGTTAAAAAAGGTTTAAAAAAAAAAAAGTTTAAACTTTTTTTCCTGGAATTGATTTTTTTCCCCAGTGGGCATTGAGAAAGTTATGAATATTAATAATTGACTGATGCATCAATTCAAATTGTTTGACAATTATAATCTATTTTCACAATTAAAATATTTAAACTCATTTGGAATTTTATTTTAACACTACAGCAAGATTTGTTAATACATTAGCTACCATTTTTACAGAATGCATGAATCAGTTAATGATCAATATAAAAATGCACTTCTTCATGGTTCAGTGTTAGAAGATGCAACTTTTGACTTAAAATGTATTCGTAAAATATTGAAATTAAAAACAATGCTGTAGAAGCTAGTGTTAGTTTTCATAATTATATCATATTAACTCAATTATCTTTTATATTTTTCCATTTTAAGTTTTAGTAACTTTGTGCTTTTGTCATATATATATATATATATTTCTATTTAGCTATCTTCCTAACCAAGTAAATTTAGTACTTCAACTTAAGTTTAATATATATATATATATAGAGCTTTATTTCAATGACCAAAAATTATTTATAGTTTGAGTTAACAATAAAAACACTGGTAGAAGCACTGTTCATTGTAAGTTTAAATAATGTTAACAAATTAAACCTTATTGCAAAGTGATTAAAAACCAGAGTTTAGTGTATAATCATCACACACACACGCGCGCGCGCGCACACACACGCGCACACACACACACACACACACACACACGTGACTGTTATGCATGTTTCAATGACCAAAAATTATTTATAGTTTGACTTAATAAAAACACTGGTAGAAGCACGGTTCATTGCAAGTTTAACTAATGTTAACAAATTAAACCTTATTGCAAAGTGATTAAAAAACAGAGTTTAGTGTATAATCATCACACAGACACACACACACACACACACACACACACAGGATGGTGACGGTTATGCATGTCTTACGTTGTCAAGTTTATTGCAGATGATCTTGGCGTAGCACCTGTTGTTGTCTCGGCCGGCAACGGTGAACTCCAGAGGCCAGAACAGACTGTGATAGATCTGCAGAGACCAACATAATCACCAGAACATCATTAAAACCACAGTCATCATCAGCACAGGTTATTAATATTTCCAGCCGGTTTGCAAACGCGCACCTCGAGGTTCTCCTGTCCGTAGATCTCGACGGCCTTCTCCTCTGGGTAACCACAGCTGCCGTATTCCAGCACAGTCATCATCAGTACAGGTTATTAATATTTCCAGTCTGACGTCGGTTTGAAGCACGCACCTCGAGGTTCTCCTGTCCGTAGATCTCGACGGCCTTCTCCTCTGGGTAACCACAGCTGCCGTATTCCATCGGCGTGAAGACGGTGGTGGGAACGTTCACATAATCGCACTGAAACGACACACAGAGAGGGAAACAGGAACTGGTGAGATCGCAGAAAACCAACGGCTATTTACAGAGTTTAATCTAACGTTCATAACACATAAATCTAATGGGAATGGCAGGAATGGTTATGACAACGCCAGACCTTCAGAGATGCTCCAGCGAACAGTCGGCGAGCCAGAAGCTTCCCGGCCTGAATGGCCACAGGCGTCAGCTCCCACTTCCCCTCCAGGATGTCTCCAATGGCATAGATGTGAGGAACGCTGGTCTGCTCCTCATCGTTCACTGGGATCTTCCCGTTCCTGGACGGAGGAACAGAAAACGACTCCATGTTAGCATTGGTAGAGCAAAGTCCAAGTCTTGAAGACTTTATCTATTCCACACCAACAACAAACAGTGAAAGAGTCCCAATTAAAAGTCCATTTCACACTTGGTTCTGATGCTTGATCCGAATCGGTTTACTTCCATTCCCTTCACAAATCTCGTTTCATGTCGTTGTGAAACGTTTGTGTCCTTATTGTGAGCAGCAGGACCATATTCTACAATTATTTTTCCTCATAACGGTTTTAATTAATCCATGTATTCCTTACACTTGCATTTGCAACTAAAAATAGATATGCATGATCTGCGAAAGGTATTGAGGAGCATGTGTGCAAATTAAGGGTGGCTCAGAATACACTTTTTTTTGTCACGGTGTCAGATTATGCGATTCTGACTAAAATCATGTCGTGAACAACAAACATGTCAGACTACATGTTGCAATTCATCGCTTACTGTCTTTAATGATGTGCGTGCTGTCATGGACTAGACAGAAGGTGCCATGAGCGTAAACAAACAATGGCACGGTCTTGTCGTCAGAAAAGTCCACAAATCTGGATTGCATGAAGAGGAGAGTACGGACTGTCAAACAGAGCGGAGGTAAAACGGTTTTTAACATTTAGGTAGTCCCTCGAGTGAAGTGAAGTTTGAAGTATGAAGTTTAAGATCATAAAAAGTCTAAATGTTGGTTGGATATATTTAAATGTACTGCCATATCAGCTTCATCTGCTATCACGTGGCAGATACAAATTAAACATTCAACAGCATAATAAAAACAAACCTTATAGAAAATTTTGACCTTATGCAGAAAGCCAAGTTGACGCATAATTCTATGAAAGATTCTTTAAATGCACAAATTTAAACGTTTTTCTGGGTCCATAATTCAGTCTTTAAACGTTGCATAAAAAGACTTAAATGATTTAATAAACGTCTTATTTTATCAAGAAAAAAAAAATAGGAATCGCTTTTAACTTCAAAAGGCTATGATTTCATTTAACAAATATGAGCGCTGCACATTTCAACATAGATATGCAGTGTGGCTGCGTGTTCACTGTGTGTGTGCATGTGTACGGTTTATAGTTTAAGGTAGGCCTATAAATAATTACATAACTATTAAATACAGTTTTAAACAAATATTTAAAAACCATGTGCACTTTGCCATTGTGCCCCTAAATATTTAAACTTAAGACACAAATGCACCTTCAAGCCCTGAGTTTGTCTAAAGCCCAAATAAGCTCTTGAGACTGTTGCAGAAAAATGAAACGAAAAATCCTTTGTAATGTAACAGCCACATTACATCAACTTCAGCTCACTTCTGCAATCTAAGAAAACTGAGTGTTACTGTAACTAATACACAGTGACTTCTCAATGTACAGACACATTCTGCGGTACGTTAGAAACACACTGTGCATTACTAAACTGAAATGAGCAACTAAGTCAGCATTTCGAATCATAAATCTGTAAATGCTCAGCGAGTCGCTCATACAGAGGAACCATAAAAGAGCCGTGCATCACTCGCATATGCGTGAGGGTCATATGGAATCACATGATTCTACTTGAGAACGGATCTAAACCTTTGTGCCGCACTGATCTCTCTGACGGACTCAAACCACACACAGCTCACTTCGGTGTATGTGTGAATTAATGCGCATGAATGGAAATGTTCAGCTGAATTCATCCCGCCCCAGTGTACTCTATTAACACAGTCCGTGTGTCCTCTGGTCAGACGCTGGATGCACTTCTCAGTTCCCAGAGTTAATACTGCTGATTCACCGTGACACTCCGGAGCCCGCCTCTGACCCCGCCCTCTCAAAAGCTACCACAACAACAAGGAGGGAGGGACTATGAGGACAGATGACCAGAATAAAACATACAAAAGAAAGAGACATACTTGGCATTGACTTTAACTCCAGCCTTGTCCAGACCGATCTTTCCTGTACAGGCGTCACGACCCGTTTATCCATTTATAATGAAAAATTTAAATGTTGTTCAAACCTGTGTGACAATGTATGACAAATAAAACTTGTTCAAAAAACGATATATTTTCCAGTGTTTTAATGCTAAAAGGAATAATTAAATATGCTTCACACTTAAGCTATCGCTACATAAAAAATAAAAAATAAATCAAACTCAAACATCCCTAGTTGAAAAGAATCCAGTTGTCACATTATACCTGGACCTGTAGTGGACTTGGATCTCTTTTTTTGTTCGTTTCAACTTAGCTGTGACCGTTAGCTTTGCCTTCACAATGCATGCTGGGAACTGAACACAGCACGACTGGCTTGCTGCGTCAGAACACACTTGCCTTGATCTTGTGCGGCTCCACAAACTCAGCGTAAGCGTTGACGTAATTGACGTTTTTGTCTCGTAGGGAAACTCTGTAGCCCCAGTTCAGTGAACCGATGTAGTTATTCACCGCGGTCCTCATCGTCTCCCAGTTGTGAGTCACTTTAATAAAAAGCCAATATTTGAGGAGAATGTGGATGAAAACAGGAGAAAGACAAAAAGAAATCTACATTAAGACCAAGAAAGGATGTGCCCTTCGGTGTGGGAACAACATAATCCAGAACCATGACCTTCTTCCCCAAGGCGGCTGCTTCCTGTTTGGGCAGGAAGAGGAAGCGTTAAAATCAGATTCATGTGCAAAACCCACAGAAGGGTTGCTATAATTCGGCTAAATTAATTTTTCCATGCCTGTATCAGGGTTTTACATGCACTATCAATATAATTATTTATATTTTTGATGACTTTGCAAGCAACATATGCAATACTATGCACCTGCATTTTTTTATTTGACACTTAGTTTACTAAAAAGTGTTATTAGTGTTATTTGATTATTTTCTGTGAATCATTTTAAACAGTTTTTATTTCAATAAATCAATTCAAAACTAAAATATCCAAGAAAATTTTTTATATATATATATATATAGGAAGCTCTTGAAAGCAAAAGCTTTGCAACACACTGCATTTTGTAACGATGATCACTCGTTCTGTGTATTCGGACCACTTCTGGTGTTAAATCTCACATCAACAATTCTTTCATTAAAGATATCGGTAACACTTTACAATAAGGTTCATTAGTTAACATGAACGAAGCATGAACAATACTTCAACAGCATTTATTAATCTTAGTTAATGTTAATTTTAACATTTACTAATGCATTATTAAAATCAAAAGTTGTGCTTTAGCATTAGTTAATGCACTGTGAACTAACAATGAACGACTACTTTCATTAACCAACATATATACAATAAATACTGTAATAAATGTATTGTTAGTTAATACATTATATGTGACCCTGGAGCACAAAAGCAGTGTTAAGTCGCTGGGGTATATTTGTAGCAATAGCCAACAATACATTGTATGGGTCACAATTATACATTTCTCTTTTATGCCAAAAATCATTAGGATATTAAGTAAAGATCATGTTCCATGAAGATATTTTGTAAAAATCCTACCGTAAATATATCAAAACTTAATTTTTGATTAGTAATATGCATTGCTAAGAACTTCATTTGAACAACTTTAAAGCTGATTTTCTCAATATTTAGATTTTTTTGCACCCTCAGATTCCAGATTTTCAAATAATTGTATCTCGGTCAAATATTGTCCTATCCTAACAAACCATACATCAATGGAAAGCTATTGATTCAGCTTTCAGATGGTGTATAACTCTCAATTTAAAAAAACTGACCCTTATGACTGGTTTTGTGGGTCACAAATGTGTCTGTGTGTCTTGTTTTCACTGACTGACATTTTTAGTACAGTGTGTGAGGAAAGAGCAGGATTACAGTAGGGGCGGGGCCTGCGGCTGTCTGTCACGGGGGGCGGGGCCTGCGGTTGCCAGGCGCTGGGTCACTTGTGTGGGAAGTGCTGAAATTTCAACGCGTCACAGCCGCGTTACGCACGGATCACACGCAGATTCTGATCGCCGACGAGCTCGAGGGAACGACGCGCTTAAGGGCCG